ACACAGCAATTACCTTTGTTCATGGTGATACAAGGAAAAGTACATTAACATAGGGAGAGTTTGGGAATTCCGGACTCTCTTTTCTCAGATCCCAGTTGTTACTTGATTACTATTCTCATCTCAAAATCCTAGAGAAAGAGCTAGGGATTTAAAACATATTATCAACATTACAGCAATGTTTGTGGAACTTGGATGTGAGTAGAAAAACTGTCAGAGCGAAGACTTTGGAGGAATTACTTGAAACTTTGTGTGCACGGCTGGAATGCTTAATGCTTCTCCAACAAAGTTCCAGTTTAGTTTTACAAGCATGGCATCCTTTTCACATTAGCACATGTTATGTGAAACATCACCCTGCTTTCTCAAAATAGCAGCTCTAATGAGATTCATGGTAGATGTCCCGCTGATCAAACATGGGTTTATGAGCAATACAAAGAACCAATAGGATGCCTGAGCCCATGCATCAGCCCAAGTGCAAGCACACTGTGAAATGCCTGCTTCTGCCCACACAAGCACTGGTTGCTCGCTAATGAACAAGGAGATACAAATACAGTCATACCACAGTTCATTAATAAGTTCAGTTGAAGTAGTAACAACCAGTTCAAATTGTTCAACAAAATATTTCAAAATGCAGCAGTCTGGATACACTTTTTTATTGGAAAAAGGAAGCTAAGACTTGGTGGTACATAGATCATAAAGGTTTAGCCTCTTTCTTCCAGTGGACATACAAGAGAGGGAAGGAAAGAGACAAAAAGGTAGCATGCTTTCCATGCTCTCCCCTCTTCCACTAAATGTACACAAGCCCCTCTACAAGCCAGCAGTAAACCTGGGCTCCACCTGAGGGCATCATCTTGATACTGGGACACACATCAGGTTTGCACGCAGCATTGAATCCCTAAATGGGAATATTAATAGTTACCTTTCATACTTTTAGGCTCCTGCAACAGGGAGCAAGACTTAGGCAAAGCGACACAAAAAAGGAGTCAACATACTGTAATCTCCATTCCTAACATATGATCAGTCACCTACTAGTCTTCTATTCAAAGCATCACTATTTTGCCACATGACAAGAAACACATTCACACAACCAGAGAGAGAACTGGAATAACAAAAAAGTTGCCTTGGTCCATGACCAAGGTGAAGGCTTATGGCCATAGCACATCATGAAACCAAGAGAGATCCTGATAACGTGGCTAGAGCAGAACCATCCCAATCACACAGCTGTAAGTCCGAGTCTTTATGCCACAGACTCCAACATAGTGCCATCATACAAGGAAAGAGTTTTTCACATGTGACAATTACACAAGAGGGAGTGACCCATCAAAATACCTAGGCAGTCTGCAAATCACTCCTTGCCTACAACTGCAGGGACTTTGAGGCAGCAAGTTGCTGGCCTTGAGCTGAATGGATTTTGCAGCCTAAGCTGGATATGACTTGCAAGACCCTACATTGGGCAAACCTACTGCAGAGGGACAAAGGAGAAATATTGCCTGCATTGCACAGTTTCTAAGTTCTCCCCGGCACCCGAAGAAGCTCAGCAAGGTGAACTACTGCATTCCCAGCAATTTCTCCCTACAATATCTATTTCCCAGGAGGAGGGCACTAGGCCTAGTTAAAATAATCAAGTTTTGGCTCATAAGATCTTGCCCTCCTTTCTGCACTGGGAGCACCCTTATGATGGTATGTATTGCTCAGCCTCTCACTATCACATGGTACAATTAAGTTCAGCTTCTAAAAGTTCTACCTGTAATTGGAGCCAGCTGCAACCTTTCTGACACATACTAATTGCCAGTAATGATTTAAGTGCAGTCAATTCACATGCTGCAATTGTTTTAAATAAAGGAATCTCTCGTACTTTTTCCTTGAGAAAAATCTGTTAATCTTTGCTGCTGACTTATCAAATCCTCCAGTCACCTGTTTGCCATCATTTTCATGAGCTGATAACGTGTTTATTAGAGCCATAATATGCAGGTGGAAGCATAAAGGTCTCATTTGGTGGAGTATGAATTCTGTCTCATATATCTGTATGGAAAAGCTTAGTTTCACCCTTCAGCTGTGCCTCAGAAATAGAATAAGTTCCAAAATAGTATCCTTTATTCTTTTCAAATGGAATATTAGTTCTTTTAAGCTCAGTACATATCTCAAAATACCATTTGGATGTGCATGACAGGTTGGTTTTTGTTAAGCTCCAGATATCATCACTGCCTATGGTGAATCCATCCAGCCTTAGTTAATTTCAGCTTAATTGTATTCTCCTTTTAATTATTTTTCATATATAAAAGCAAGTTCTACAAAATAATAAAATGTCATGTGGATTCTGTAAGGCTGGTTTAAGAGTTCTTCCCACAAACTATTTTAGTTTCCTGCAGAAGACCTGACCTGAGATACTGCATTTTTGGCGGAATGAACCAAATATCTCTCTGGAAGTTTTTCTCTCCTTTCTGCAGTGTTTGGCGGTTATGGCTAGGGTTTTGGGGGGTTTTTTTGGGGGGGAGGTTTGGACATTTGGGAGGGAGGGAGGTGTTTGTTTTTTAAGGCATGCTAGTGAAATTACTACAGTTTGGAAGTCAGTGCACAGAATTTATCAGCCCACTTTTTCCAGCAAATGGATGTTCTGCTGCAGCTGAGTTCAGTGGTCCTTCAGCTGGTTTATGTGCGTGATGTATTGAATGCCCTTAGCTCCTGGGGCAGTGTGTACTATAACTCAGCCTTTAATTGGGTCTAACCCAGGTATCTGCAATCTTCAGAAAAATGTTCATAACTCTTGCCTCACCTGTGACACTGCAGGAGGGAAAAAAAGTATGGACCATAGTGTGAAGTGGGGATGTTCAACCAAATATCTTTAACTATATGAAAGAAAAGAGAAAAAATACAAAAAAAAAAATACTGACCAGCCACTCATGGAATCAAGGCAGATTTTTCATGTGAAAGAACCAGTCTGAATCCAAAGAGAAAGTATATAAGAAAGAAAAGAAACTGCAAAAAAGAAGCCAGATGAAAACCTAAATTATGTTTGGGACAGCCAAACTTTCCAACTGCAAGAGGAATTTCATCTGAGTTAGGACTCCAGGACTTGGCTCCTGAAAATGTAAAGTTCTAGGACAGTATGTGGTTCACTATAAAACAAATCTAGCATATAATAATTTCCTTCCACAATTCCCATGACTTGTGGCACAGACCCAAAACCTCTCCCATGATTCACATCCAAACCTCCCAGGGGAGATGTGATGGCCAGATTGTTAGTTTTAGTGCATGAGTAGTTTGGGTGAAATGACAAATGCTAACACTCAGTCATACTGTGGAGAAGAGATGACCACAGTTATGAGCAAAGGGCAGAGCTCCACTGACAGTTTATTATTAGCATCTTGAACATGCGTAAAAAATGTGGTTTTTTTTTTTAAGGTAAATAACATTTTCCTACCTAACTCGCCAGTCCTCAGGGACAATTTGTTAGTCATTGCACAGCATGGGCCAATTCCTCTTTTCCAGAGAGGAGAACAGCCGTCTCAGCTGATCCAACAGTCCAACAGGCTGATGTTACAAAGCACCTCACAACTCTAAAGTCTGCTTCTGTGCCCAGTAATCTCCTGAATCTGCATTTTGTACAAACTCTGAGCCAGTGCTGACCATGCCCAGACTAACACCTCCTGGAATAGCTTTCCCTACCACTGAAAACCTTGCCAGAGTAAATAATGTACCAGTTTGCTGATGTAGCCTCTTCCAGAACTCCTCCTAGCTTTAACCTTTCCAAATAGACTCTGAATCTAAAATACAGTTAATCTGTGCCTTCGACTCATCAAATTATTCATTCCAAATTTCATGTTTGTTGTTAATTATCCCCTTTTTCTTCCTGTTTGCAGATTAATCACAGATCAATCTGTCAAATCATGCAGAGAAACAAGTCCCAGCCTCGTGGTCTTTGCTCACAACCCACCGTTCACGATACAAGAGTGATCACTTATACCACATGTTATTTCTTCCTTGTCCCTGAAATTTTTGAATTGAGGAGAATACTGACAATCTATGCACCTTTGGCACAGCTTTGCAGAAAAAATAAACAAAAAAAAAGATAATTCTACTTAAATTTGTGAGCATTCCAGATCCACCAGTCCTTCTAAAAATGCATCTTAGATATCTCAGTATTAGCAAACAAAAAAAAAAATGGAGATTACAAAGAGATAAAAAGATGAAGAAAGAAATGGAAAAAGCTTGCAACATTTGACTGAAAAAGCTATCATTGGAGAGATCATATTATGCAGTTAGATCTATCTAACCATCTCACCTAAAACTTGTGACAGTTAGAGATAATTCAACAGTGGAAAGCAGAAAGGCAGAGGTCTGCCTCAAAGGGCCAGAAACATCCTTTTTTTTCTCTCAAAGCAGTTCCTACTTCACGTGTGGTGTCCCACACACACAGTGGACCACGAGTTCTGAGTGGGAGCATCAAGCCAGTTATTCCTGTTTTTGAAGGGGAAGTGAGGGAACAGATAGGAGGAGGCAAAAACAGTGGTGACCGCTGGAGAAGTAGAATTTGAAGATCAAGATTTTGTGACTGAGGTTAGAAGAAAAGACGACTGAAAAAAGAACTACGTCTCTGCATATTTTCCAACACCTCCCAGAAATGTATCTAAACAGCACCAGTCTTATCAGATAGAGGCACTGAGAGATGGAGGTGAGCCAGCGGACAGCCACGTGAGCAAAAGAGGGCAAGGGACAGGCAACATGAAATCATAGCCTACTGCAGAGCAGGGGAAAGCATATGGTGCTATTCCCCAAGCAGCCCCTTAAGCATAGAGGAAGAAGAGGAACACCACAGAGACAAAGCAGGCCATGCCTGAACCCCTGGGTGCTAAACATTCAAGGGCAGGATGGAATGGAATTGCTTAGAGCCATTACAAACCCAGCAGTGCTGATAGGAACAAGAGTTCAGCCTGGGCCAAGGCACTCCAGTCCAGCTTGCCAAACTTGGAAGTGGCTCCATACAAATCTAAGCAGCCTCTTACCTTCCTATCTGATGGGCTCTTAATGCAGTTCCTCCATCTCCCACATATGAACAGTAGTAATGTTATGTTCTTACTTGCTATAGAATATCAGAGCTGTAATAGCAGTGGAAAGGCTGGAGAGAAATCAGGACAAGAACCAAGGATTAAAGAAAAATATCTGGTTAATTGTCATTAATAAAAAACCCTTCACAGAGTGGCAAGTTTCTGTATTTATCATGTGAACTTCCCTTGAAAACAAACAACCACTAGTCCCCTGAGGACTTTTCCAACAGTTACAGAAGATATCTAATGAGGCAATGTTTAAGAGACCTAATTATAAGAAAAAATAAACCTTGATAACCATCTTATCCCACGTACAGCTTAAATATGACTCAGAGTTTATTTTAATAATCCTCACAGGTTAACACAGCACAGTCCAAGCCACACTGCAGCAATGCAGCTATTGAGAGATCATGAAAAGGAGCTGGGAAGTCACCCACAACAGGATACCTGACCAAATGGAGGTGAAAGAACAGAGATGCGCTATGGAAGGCTGAAAATAGAAGCCTTGAGAAAGCAGGGCTTTGCATTGCAAACTCATATCATTATATCAATTTTACCCACTTTGCTCTGATCACCTGTGTCAACAAGGCATTTCCTCTGTACCTTGAGCCACATTACTGCACCTGCCCTTGAGGGAGGAGTTATTGGATTAACCCAGCTTCCTCTTATCTATGTTTACTCACCAAAATTACTCTGCAGAGAAAACTCCCTGAATCAGTCCCAGGGCTGCAGTTTCACTCATATGCAAAAACTCAGATGTAGCATTAAACATGCATAGCTAAAAAAAAAGAAAAAAAATGACCTCATTGTGAGTAACCACCACAAGCCAAGCTGGGTGAAGTCACTGGGGATTTTTCTTTCCAGCACGCCCACACCACTGGGACTCTTTCAGAGGGACAGACACCTGCAGTGCTGCTGGGCAAAGGCAAACCTTTCTTCCCCACTTTCCCTGAACTAGGGGAGAAGAAAGTGGGTAACCACCAGAGCAGACAAGGAAATAGGTTCAGACATGTTACTTTTGCTGCCTGTGTTAGGCCAATAGGAAAAAAAAATTTAAAAAATGGTGGAGTCATAAGGAATTCTGCTTGCTAACACTAGTGCTGGCTTTGCTCCAAACCCATGACCCTTACAACGTCGCTGTAGGATTGCTGGGCAAGCTGCTAGAGTCACTGAAGCAAGAGAGAGAAATCCCCAGATTTCCTACTGTGTGTAATTCTGCATAGCGTGAGCTAACCATAAACCCCCTGAGATACCTCTTGGTTTTAGTCTTAAAATTGCCCCCCCCAAAAAAATACACACACAAAAAAAATGAAAACTATGCAATCTTTAGCTTTAAAGCAAGTAAATTCAGATGGCCAAAGACACTAGACTTCAGCAACATTTTGTTACTTAAAGCAGCCTTCCAATCCAGAACTGGGAATAAAACCTCAGGGCTGACTGCTCAATTGCTGAGATGGAATGTGATACAGTTCCTAATGAGTCTTCCCACTGAACAATCGGCTTCTTCAAGGTGAGCAGAAATTTCAACTGAAGGATAAACAGGAAACTGTTAATGACAACCTTAAAAGGTTAGATAAGAAAACAGGTTCCAAAGTACCTTATATTTATCTACTTGGCTTTCACCTGCAGATACTTGCCAACACTTACTGCCTCCTCCGTGGACTGTTAATGACCCACCACATTACTTACATGCAAGCCTTCATGTAAGTCCTTTGTGTGAAAGAATTGTAAACTCATATCTACTTGTGAAAAAATGAAAACCTTCTCCTTAAAGGCAAAGGAAAAAGGCCACTTCTCTCACCTGTAAATGGTAATTTGCCTCTGCTGAAGCCATTCTCTAATAATATAAGCCTGTACTTAAGTAAAAAATGGTGACTTGCATCTTAAACCCAGGAACCCAAAAGTTATTCTTTTGGCACATCTGCTGAACCTTTAGTATACTGATTTCTAAGGGAGAGCGTTTCCTCCACAGCATCCTGAAGCTCAGGAAGCTGTCATCAGGACATCAGGACCAATTCAAAATGCAGTGAAGACAAAACATACTGATATAACTGATACAAGTTGAAGTCGCATCTTGCAGCTTTCCAAGCCCTTGTGCCGTTTCTGCAGACAGACAAGTAAATCCTGGCCAGAACCAGCCTATACCCACAACTATGACAAACTACAGTTTCAAAGAAATATGCCACCATTTTCCAAAAGTGGGAAAGATAGTAGGGAATCTGCACACTGAAACATTTTCTCAGCATATATTTCTAAGTACTTATAGCAGTGCTTCTGAAGTCCCCTTCTTCTATCAAGTGGAAAATTTCTGAGATTCCAGAGGGCCACATGTGACTTGGCTAGAAAAATGCAAGGCCCAACCTTTTAGCACAGAGGCCACCCACATGAAGAGATCACTCACAGGACCTGGGATAAGAAGTCTGAACTCACAAATAAATCAAGAGTTTGATCTTGGGTAGGTTCAGCAGAGCTTAGAATAAAATCTAGGGAGTCAAATAGACATTAACACTGTGGCCCTTTGCTGCTAAAGCATTCTGATAGGAGAAGACAATGATCAATGCTGAAGAATAACTCCATAACAGAAATGTAGAGTCTTGACAGAGGTACCCTGGAATACTAGATGTTTCAAATTGTAGGGGAAGAGGAGATGGGAAAACACAATTTCTCACCAGAGGAAGGAAAATTAGGACAGAAATTAAAAAAAGTTGACAAACAGCACACTCAAATACAATCTGCTAAACTGAGAAATTTTCCATACCTAAAACATAGAATGTATCTAAGGTGTTGTGATGACTTGGTACCACATCATTTTCTGGTTGTCTGTGAGTTTACATAGCTGCAAGGCAACCATTTTCCCCAATAAAATCATTCAGCAAACAAGATTCTAGTGATTCACTCGACTTCTAAAATAAACACTATCAGAGCTGATTATAAGCACTTACCCATGCTGTAACTGCTGTCATGTGCAGATACACAGGAGTATAACACTACCTTCAATAACAATACCAGAAAAATGACATTCATTTTCTAAGTCAAGCAAGGTCTTACTTTCAGCTCAAGGGCATTCATCTGTCTGCCTGTAATATGGGAACTTTTCGATGTCATCTCCAGGCAAGCCCAATGTTCAGGAGAAGTTCTACAAATCAAAGCATAGACCATATGATTTTGATGACAACCCGTTCACCCAAACAGAAAAGTGCAGGATGCATGCAATCCCTTGCCTCTCCCCAGTCAAACCAATACCTTTATTTCCCCCTGCAAAGGCTGATAAAATGGAAAGAAAAATAACAATGGCTATTAACCATCTGCTTCTCACCCCATTACAGCTAAAATGTGGTCAACTGAATAATTTACCTCTTTTTGCTATGCCTGGGAGATAAGACTGGTGGGAAGGAAAATTCTATTCCCAGCTCCTAGCACAGAAACAAATAAAAGACCTTCAGCAAATGAGAAAGAGATGAGATAGACAGATAAAAAGGTCCCTATTTTCTGGTAGCGATGGAAGTGAGGATATGCCAAGCATAAGGCAGCAAACCTGAAGCCAGCAGGAATGCTTGAAGAAGCAGTAGATGGGAGAGGAGCCTGGAGAGAGCCTACAGAGGAAAAGCATGATGCAAGAAGGTCTCAGTGCCATATTCAGGGCTGCAGAATACATGCCACACAGTGATTTTCAATAATATTACATTTTTCTGAAACTAGTTAACAGCCTGAGAACTCAGGCCTGACAGCCTGAGAACTTTTTATGAGCCAGATTTGGTGAAGTGGGTTAAAATGAATTCATGAGAGACACTTTATGTTGTGAAGAGTACTGAAGAGGCAGAAAAAGATGGGGTAGGCAAAGGTAAAGGCTGACTGTCACTCCTGGGGACAAGCAAGGAGCACAGTGCTGGTCTGCACATACAGAACTGAGGGCTGGTGCCTGCTGATGAAGAGGCAGCATTTTTACCTCAAGGTAGCCAACATGCACACCAGTACCTTGAGGTAGAAAAATAGTGACAAGGCATTACAAATTTTACCATGAGGTGACTTGCCAAGATGAGCGTTGTACCCTGCCTGGGGTTAACCTGAGGGAGTTTACCTCATGGTAAAACTAATGTTGTTGCCTTTGCTGAGCTTTTTTATTCAGACAGTTTACATGTATCTGTTACCCTGAAGAAAAAACACTCGGTTTTTTCTGACAGTGAAAATGTGATGATTCACATCTTGGTGCCCTGTTCAAGAAACTGAAACCATTTTGCACTGGCTCTCGGTGTCATTAGTAATTTTCTTCACTTACTTTCACTTAAAAGCATATAATTTGACCAATACACAGATGCATGTGCTCACCAGACAAGCTTCTGCAAATTTTGCAAAGATTTTTTTTCATACACTGCAAACGTACTTTATTCTTCATTTCTGCACAGAGACTAAGCATTTCACCATGTCATTTTCTCGCAAACAATTAAGAGGAAATTAATACAACACAAATTAAATTTTTTACCACAATCACTCTGGAGGAATAATCCATCTTCTTCTTTTAATTAGAATAAACCTTATTGTTCAGCATTTAAAAAAAGAATTAAAAGTCAATATGCAGGTGAAAACCCTTTCATGCATACAAACCCCCGTATTATTCTGTTCATGTGCCAGTATCACAACACACCTAATAAATACACACTAAACTTTTCATGAACATTCATTATTGAGAAGAAAGCTAAATTTTTGCATGAGTTCCATATTATTAAAACATTATCAGAAGCTTCCACACTAAACTCACTGGGGATCAGTTTCATATTCCTTGCATCCCCCAATACATACGCTGGGCAATAACTGTAAGCAATTCAGGGTAGGGATGGTCCTTCCTTGTTTAAGAAATGGCTAGTACCATATGTAATTTTGCTCCTAGTTCACTGTAAACAATGATCAGTGACAATTAGTAGCCATCTTAATGATTTGTAAATACTTTAGAAAGGATTTTAGAGAGATACTTTTTAACAAAAAATCTTTTCATTAAAGCAATCTCAGCCTCTCTCTAGAAATATAGCACAGGAACTGAA